TAGTTTGATCCGATTCTAACCTCTCAAATATGGAGGGGAGCTCGAAACTGATCTGGCAGTTTTCCATACTAGAAAGGCCGAAGTGGCACGTGATCAGGACGACCAATCAGAGCCATTACGGAAATTGAAAAGGCAGTGAGTTTGTTCTTTTTCACTTCCGTTTTAAAAAGCCTGGAACACCCTATTCTCTCTCGAGTTATCGTGCGGACAGACATACAAAGAGACAGACTAACAAACAAACAAACAGAAGGAAACTTTTCCGGTCAGTGGAGTAATGGGCTTCGCTAACCGCTCAGCCAAACTAGGTAGATACGCCAGACCACGTCTCGCGTAACAGGCTTCGCGATATCTCACGAAACACTGTTGCGCTGCGACGCGCCTGGCATACATCTACCTAGGCCTGCGGTGCTGACACCCGAGTCGGGTATCGCCAATATGAACACAAAGATACGGGCCTCCGGCCCGTCAACCTCCTGTCACTTCGACTGACTATACATGCAGGGTTGTACATTTTTTCACTTATTTTCGTCAAAAACTCCATGTGGCGCCTAAATGGTTAACTAGGTAGATGTACGCCAGACCACGTCTTGCGTAACAGGCTTCGCGATATCTCACGAAACACTGTTACGCTGCGACGCGCCTGGCATACATCTACCTAGGCCTGCGGCGCTGACACCCGAGTCGGGTAGTGCAAAAATGCACACAAAGATACGGGCCTGCGGCCCGTTAACGGCTCATCACTTTGACTAAGAATGCATGGTTGTACACTTTTTCGCTTATTTTCGTCAAAAACACCCTCTAGCGCCTCAACGGTTTGAGCTAGAGCTTTTTGGGGACCTGTGGTTTTTGATTTTTTAAAAATCCAATTTTTGAGCTAGAATGCTCTTCTTCGAACTTGATCTGTCTTTTTATGACACAAAACGACCCTGAAAATCCCAGGTCGCTAGCTCAATTCGTTCTCGAGTTATCGTGATGACAGACAGGCACACAAACAGACAGACACACAGACAGACAGACGTGAAACTTTTTGATCACTGGAGTAATAGGCTTCGCTAATCGCTCAGCCAACTAGCTATATATACGCCAGACCACGTCTCGCGTAACAGGCTTCGCGATATCTCACGAAACACTGTTACGCTGCGACGCGCCCGGCGCACACATAGCTAGGCCTGCGGCGCTGACACCCGAGACGGGGTAATAGGAGTGTATACACAATTTTTCG